GCATTTACTTTACCAGTTGATAGAGCCCAATATCAGCTATATGTATAATCATCTCAATATTTACTTTACCAGTTGATAGAGACCAATATCAGCTATCTGTATAGTCATCTCAATATCTACTTTACCAGTTGATAGAGCTCAATTTCAGCTATCTATATAGCCATCTCAATATCTACTTTACCAGTTGATAGTGTCCAATATCAGCTATAGGTATAGTCATCTCAATATTTACTTCACCAGTTGATAGAGCCCAATATCAGCTATTTGTATAGTCATCTCAATATTTACTTCACCAGTTGATAGAGCCCAATATCAGCTATCTGTATAGTCATCTCAATATCTACTTTACCAGTTGATAGAGACCAATATCAGCTATCTGTATAGTCATCTCAATATCTACTTTACCAGTTGATAGAGACCAATATCCGCTATATGTATAGTCATCTCAATATTTACTTTACCAGTTGATAGAGCCCAATATCAGCTATCTGTATAGTCATCTCAATATTTACTTTACCAGTTGATAGAGACCAATATCAGCTATCTGTATAGTCATCTCAATATCTACTTTACCAGTTGATAGAGACCAATATCAGCTATCTGTATGGTCATCTCAATATCTACTTTACCAGTTGATAGAGACCAATATCAGCTATCTGTATAGTCATCTCAATATCTACTTTACCAGTTGATAGAGACCAATATCCGCTATATGTATAGTCATCTCAATATTTACTTTACCAGTTGATAGAGCCCAATATCAGCTATCTGTATAGTCATCTATATATTTACTTTACTAGTTGATAGAGACCAATATCAGCTATCTGTATATTCATCTCAATATTTACTTTACCAGCTGATAGAGACCAATATCAGCTATTTGTATATTCATCTCAATATTTACTTTACTAGGTGATAGAGACCAGTTATTTGTATAGACATCTTAATATTGCCTTGTCTTGATAGCAATTCCTATCGATACTCTTGCTCGATTTTATGTATTGTTCGTTCTTCTCAATTAAACCTCAGGTATGAAAAAGTCCAGGCTTATTATTATATTCTACTTCTATTTCAGCTAAAGATTGTGGAGCTGTTCCACCAGGTAATTTTTCTACAGGAACTGCAGCAAGTGGTACAACATACCCAAACAAAGCAGAGTACACTTGTGATGAAGGACATGAAGAAGCAAGTGGTGATATCAGTATTAAATGTCTAGCATCAGGCCAGTGGGATGTTGCTAATATACTAGTTTGTAATCAAGGTAAGTATATAGTCAATCTTATTCTTGCTAGTGGGTAACAATATTGAAGGTGAAAACCCATGTTTAAATGGTGGCACGTGTGTTCCGGCAATAAACATCGCTGATACTTCCACCTGTATATGTCCACCCGCACAATTCAACCAGTTTGTGAACATCAGTTGATTCAGTTGTATCAGCTGTTTTATAGATAGACAAAGATCTCAATTTCAGCTATTTGTATTGATGTGGTACTATTTACCGATAAAGTTGAATTTAAGAAATTTGTATAGTCTGCTCAATATTTACTTTACCAGTTGATAGAGCCCAATATCAGCTATTTGTAAAGTCATCTTAATATTTACTTTACCAGTTGATAGAGTCAATATCAGCTATTTGTAAAGTCATCTCAATATTTACTTTACCAGTTAATAGAGCCCAATATCAGCTATTTGTATAGTCATCTCAATATTTACTTTACCAGTTGATAGAGCCCAATATCAGCTATTTGTATAGTCATCTCAATATTTACTTTACCAGTTGATAGAGCCCAATATCATCTATTTGTATAGTCATCTCAATATTTACTTTACCAGTTGATAGAGCCCAATATCAGCTATCTGTATAGTCATCTCAATATTTACTTTACCAGTTAATAGAGCCCAATATTAGCTATTTGTATAGTCATCTCAATATTTACTTTACCAGTTAATAGAGCCCAATATTAGCTATCTGTATAGTCATCTCAATATTTACTTTACTAGTTGATACAGCTGAATATCAGCTATTTGTATAGTCATCTCAATATATACTTTACCAGTTGATAGAGACCAATATCAGCTATCTGTATAGTCATCTCAATATTTACTTTACCAATTGATAGAGCCCAATATCAGCTATTTGTATAGTCATCTCAATATCTACTTTGCCAGTTAATAGAGCCCAATATCAGCTATTTGTATAGTCATCTCAATATTTACTTTACCAGTTGATAGAGTCCAATATCAGCTATTTCTATAGTCATCTCAATATCTACTTTACCAGTTGATAGAGCCCAATATCAGCTATTTGTATAGTCATCTCAATATTTACTTTACCAGTTGATAGAGACCAATATCAGCTATTTGTATAGTCATCTCAATATTTACTTTACCAATTGATAGAGCCCAATATCATCTATTTGTATAGTCATCTCAATATTTACTTTACCAGTTAATAGAACCCAATATCAGCTATTTCTATAGTCATCTCAATATCTACTTTACCAGTTGATAGAGCCCAATATCAGCTATTTGTATAGTCATCTCAATATTTACTTTACCAGTTGATAGAGACCAATATCAGCTATTTGTATAGTCATCTCAATATTTACTTTACCAGTTGATAGAGTCCAATATCAGCTTTTTGTATAGTCATCTCAATATTTACTTTACCAGTTGACAGAGTCCAATATCAGTTATTTGTATAGTCATCTCAATATCTACTTTACCAGTTGATAGAGATCAATATCAGCTATCTGTATAATCATCCCAATATTGCCTCGCCTTGATAGAAATTGCAATCAATACTCATGCTGGATTTGATATATTGTTCGTTCTTCTGAATTAAACTTCAGGTATATAAAAGACCAGGCTTGTTATTATATTCTACTTCTATTTCAGTGAAAGATTGTGAAGCTGTTCCACCAGGTAATTTTTCTACAGGAACTGCGGCAAGTGGTACAACATACCCAAACAAAGCAGACTATACTTGTAATGAAGGACATGAAGTAGCAAGTGGTGATTTCAGTATTAAATGTCTAGCATCAGGCCAGTGGAATGTTGTTAATATACTAGTTTGTCGCGGTAAGTATCTAGTTAATCCTATTCTTGCTAGTGATCACAATATTGAAGGTGAAAACCCAAGTTTAAATGGTGGCACGTGTGTTACGGCAATAAACATCGCTGATACTCCCATCTCTACATGCTCGCCTGACACAATTCAAGCAGTTTGTGAGCGTGAGTTTATTCAGTTGTATCAGCTAT